GGAGACTCACTGGTGTGTGAAATATACTCTAGTATAATAAGTTTGCGGTTTGTGGCAGTATGTTCAAAGCACTATGGGAACACAGTAGAAGAAAGGGTATCTCTGGCTAAGGTGTGTGATGGAGCTCAGGAAAACTTCAGAAAGGAATGACTTTTCTCCAGGTACCTGGGGTTCAAGTGAAGCAGGAGGAGGTGGTACAGTCAATGAAGGTATAAGACTTATGGCCAGTGTGGTTCAATATGGCTAGAAGCCTGGTGTCTGCTGCATGGAGGGGAGGCCAGGATGAGAAGACAGATCAGCCATGATGGCATATGTGGACTCTGGGTAGGCCACTTTCCAGGAGAATCTGGTATATGCTGGCCATGGGCCACTTCCAGTCTTTCACCTATTTTTGTAAATAAAGTTTTATGAACCATAACCATACCTGTTTATATATTTCCCGGGGCTGTTCTTGTGTTATGATGGCAGAAATCAAATGGCCCAGGAAGCCAAAAGTATTTTCTAAAAATCTCAAAACATTTTTTTGGTACCAGGGATCAAACTCGGGACCTTGTGCTTGGGAGGCAGGTGGCAGAACCACTGAGCTAAATCCCCAGCCCTCAAAACATTTTTTTTTTAAAGGTCAGCTCTTAAAAAATAGTGTGACGGGGCCAGGGATTTAGCTTAGTGGTTCTGTTGCCTGCCTAGCAAGCATAAGGTCCCGAGTTCCATCCCCAGTACCAAAGAAAAAAAAAAAAAAGTGTGATGACTTCTGTCTTAACAATTTAAACTATTTATTTGAATTTCTGTAACTGGCTCCATATGGTCGAGCTTTCTGAGGGCCTTATCCCTACAGGTTCTAAGGAATACCTTAAATCTTCTTCTACAAAATGGACGATTAGTTGTTTATATCAGAAGCTTATCTGGACATCTCTTTCACAATCCTGAGTGTCAGAGTGTCATTTATGATTTCTCTTTTTTTATTTCTTGTTTTAATTTAGGGGTTTGCCACAAGCTTTTCTTTACTGCTGTTTTTACAAGCATCTCACCCCACAGTAGCTCATCACTTAACTTAGAGATGTTTTGTTTCCTTTGGCTCCTCCAGTTCTTTGTAAATTTGTGTACCACTTTTAGAATGTTGCTGAAAATTGATTTTTTTCACTTCCCATTACCACTCTCAAATTCTACACTCTGACAGATAGTTACTTCCTTGATTCTGGAAAGCCCATAGAAAACAGAAGGTATCCCCATCAGCCTTTATGAAACAGAAAAATGCAGAAATAATCATGGTTTTCTAGTAGACAACATTATAGAATTTCTCTTACTAGTGCATCCCTTTACACATTTAAAATCAAATTTGATCTATAAGAATTAAATTTGCACATGATTTTCTAGGGAATACATCTCTAATATAGAGCAAAGAGTGTGGTTATTTTATTAACCACTGGCAATAAAAGAGAGTAGAAAAAGTAATTCAGGGTTTTAAAGGCTACTTTTTATGGCATGTAGTACACATTTCACTTTGAATGCAGACTTTAGAATCACACTACCTTGTTCTAAAACCTAGCCCTGTCCCTTACTGTGTTACCTTAAGTAAGGTAATTAACTTCTCTATGCCTCAGGTTCCAGAACCTCCAACAAAAAGGGAGGTGGGGGATGGTAAGTTAGGGCTGTTGTGAGGTCTGATGCATTAAAATAAGGCATATACACACATAGAACATCCCATCTAAGGAGAATGAACTGGGAACATCACATGGGCCTTGATTTATCATAAAGGATATGAGGTCATTTTTGCCTCCTTTCTATTTTTAATCTTTCAGCACTGCTGGGGATGAACTCTAGGCCTGACCCATGCTAGGTGCACGCTGTACCACTGAGGCACACCCCAGCCCTGCCTCCTATATTTCTGATTCCCTACTGAGGTATACTTTCCCCCCCCATACTCCTGGCCCACATGGATTGGGTGGACTCAATCTTAATCCTAGGCTTGAGGGATTGACTCAAGATCCACACTTGGCCAATGACAATATTCTGTCCTTTGGGCAAAGGAAGCCTGAAGCTGCCAGTGGCCATCTTTGCTAGCCATAGGGAAAATCTTCCTAAGAAGAAAACCAATACTGTAAAAAAATAACTGTAAAAGATGAAAAGAAACAATATCCTAAAAATAAACATGTGTCTTTGGATCCAGTGTTCCTTTAGACTTTTCAGTTACATGTGCCAGATTTTTTTAGCTTAAACCAGTTCGCACTGGGTTTTCTCTCACTGGCAACCAAAGGGTTCTGACACACAATGAACTGACATGTCCTATGGCTGGAATTGAATGTGAATCTTGCTAATCTTGCTACTCTAGAGAAAGAAGGCAAGGTGAGGATAGGTGGCAGACCTGAACTGTAGACTTGGTTCTGTCTTCACCCAGTCAGGGATTGCTGGGAAAACCATTTCACCTTTCCGAGTCCTGGTGTACTTCTATGTCAGATGAGAGATGTGAGTGAAAATCAATCTCTAAGATCCCTTTTCAGGTCTAACATTCTACAAGGATGTATTATTCTTGGGTTCATTTCAGTGGCGTATTCTGTGGTATAATTGCTTACTGATTCTCATATTTGCCTGCTTCCTCCTGTTTCAACTTTAAAAATATTCTATTAGATTCTTAATTCCTATACTTCAAGTGTTTATTTCCCCTTCAATTTCCTTCTAAGAAAAACATTTATTTTTGCGTACTTGGACATAATGACTAGATTTTCTTCCCTTTCTATATTTTAAAATCTAATTAAGGTGACAAGTTCCTTGAGAGTTGAAGCTAGGGTTTTCCTGTGGGTGTAAACATTATATTTTTTTAAATTGCCAACCAAGCTGCCAGTTTTTACAGAGCAGCAGGATATGGGTTTTAAATAATGTAAGCAGGAAATGGGTCTCCAGCCCACACAAAATAAATGCAAAAGGACTGATTTTTCCTGAGTTCACATCTGGCTTACTAATTTATAATTTCAGTATGAACTAAAATTGTACCACAGAAATCCAGTGTGACATCCATGTCTGCAGAACATCAAACTAAAAATGGACCATGAGGTGATCACCCTGAGTGTTTCACACAAATAAATAATCTGGCTATTTCAGGTCATCATGACTTTTCCTTCAGGGGTAGGATATGAGTACTGAATGACTGAACATTAGCTACATGTCTCCGCATTCACTGATTTCAAGTAATTCAATATCTCTAAAGTTTGGGGGGATCAAAGGGAACTAGGTGAAGTGTGGTCAAGTGACACATCATCTGCAGATAGAACTGCCCAGAAGGAAACAGTCCGTAAGACACTTCTCTGAGTGATGACCTTGTCCGTTCTTGTTCATGGGAACTGTAAAACACAAACAGGACCCCAACTCCAAAGGCCTCAGTGGGTACTTCTTGGCAAATATAACCAAATGACCTGGAGGCAGAGATTTCACAGGGTTTGTTGAGTAATTCAGTGATGTCATTAAAGCTCTGATTTCTATCTTTCTTTTTTTCCAACCACAGTACCTGATTTGTCCAACAACTGACTTCCCCTGGGGTCAGAAGATGACTACCAGGGTGCTCATGGATACTTGCCTCCATGTTCACATGTTTTGTGTCCAAATGTTCTAAGCTGGAGTCTTGAATTAGCTCATATTGGACTGCCCTTGGTTACGTGTTCACACAATGAACTGATGACTGTGGATGAAACTGAAAAGATGTTGATTGGCTTGTGTTGACTGAGTCAATTCTAACCCCGAAGTGCAGAAACCCAAAGGTATAAAAACAAACTAAAATTTGAGTGCCATTATGAAAGGTGAAGGGATAGGAGTACAGGTAGGAAAGGCAGCTACAGGGGCTACCAGGAAGCATCCACTACAATCCCTCAGTAGCAGCTCCCAACAGAAGCAGTCTTTCAGCTAAATACTCTCAAGATAATGCTGTTCCGCTCTAGGGGATGTCTTTCTTCTGTCAGTCTTTTTGCCAGGGTCACATTCTCTTGTCTAAAATCCAAGAGCCCTTGATTCATAACCTAATTCCTTAACCCACTCTAAGAGCATGGATAGGGCACCTGGATTTTCATTCCATGCTCTAGGAGGACATTGGCATCTCTAGGATCCTTCCATAGCACCTCATTCAATGACTCATACACATAGTGGCTTTCACCAAATCCTCAACCGATGCGATACGTGAAAAGGTAGCCATCCCATAAGTGCTTCACCTGACACACACCCCAGTCACTTCGTGCAGCCAGTCTAGCCAAGCTTTGTACCAGTGTCTTATTCCCTATGTTTGAAAGTATCAAAGATGAAAAATTTTGCAGTATATATATTCTATTTTAAAGCATGTACATTTCAAGTACCCAAAAACAGATGTTTATGAATAACCAATTTTTAATTTATTAAAATGTTCTCTTGTGCATTAGTAAAAGGTATCATTTAGAAGAAATGGCTTAGAAGAGAGAAGCTAAATAAAGTTGTAAAAAATGCCAATTCGGGCCGGGGATTTAGCTCAGTGGTTCCAGCGCCTGCCTCGCAAGCACGCAAGGTCCCAAGTTCGATCCCTGGAACCAAAAAAAGCCAATGTCCCAAGTTTCAAAATGTTTCTTTTGAAGTGAAAGTTATATGATCCCTCCCAGGCAAAAAAGGGGAAATTAGTCTTTCTGTTAACATTCATGCTTCTTGGTTCATTTTCTCTCCTTGTTATAAAGATCCTTATTCCCACTGTCCAGAGGGCTATGCAGATACACTGGGATACACTGGGTCAGTAACTGCTCTGAAATACAAATATGCCATCCACAACACCCAACTCCTGCCCTTCCACCAACTACCACTCAAGTTTTATCTGAAAATCTCCATAGTTATTCCATTTTCATGTCATCTGTTTATACCTACTCTTGGCAATATATCTTTAGTGCCATGACTGATTTTTCTCATGCTGACATCCTTCATGATTTGACTTGAGAAGCTGAGCAAATATATTTACAGATAAGGCAAACAGGGAAAAATTTTTTTGAGATTCCACTTACATTCTTTGGACATTCCCACTTCAAAGCACTTCTGGAGTCGACAGTACTGGCATCGATTCCTGGTGACTTTATTAATAACACAATTCTTATCTCGATGACAAGTATAAATCATGTTCTTCTGAATACTTCTGCGGAAAAAGCCCTGTAAGTAGGCAAGATGAACAAACTAAGTAAAATATTCAAGCTTCATGAAAAATCAAAACCAAACTTCCCAATGAATTTACTGTTCTTCTTGAGTAAAAAAGTGAGGGTAGCAGAAAAGTTAACTTATTATAACCCTTAAAACTCTTGTGAAACATTAATAGCTCACTCTGTTGCAGACTCAAAAGCCTCTTTTAATCAAAACTAGACCATTATTATCTTGCAAAAAGAAAAGAATACGAATCTGGTTCACATGAAAAACATCAGGCAGAGTTGGGATCCCTCCAAACAGGCTTAATTTAACTAACTTCCTTACTGGCCAGAACAATTTCAGGTAAGCCCATCACTGAGAAAGCCAATACAAAAGGAATTGCATTTGCATAGGAAATTGCTTCATGCAAGAATTAGGTCTTTTTAAGGAGTCTTCTCCAAATTCCTTTATATATTTAGCTTTTATCATAACATTTAAAACACAATTTAATCTACCAAGTTTTCTGAATGAAAAAATCATCCAAAATTGGAAACAAGGCAGAAAAATGAATATCTGCCTATTGAACGGCATCACCTCAGAGTTGTGCTGTCCAATATGGTAGCTGTTAGTCACATGTGGCAATTTAAATCAAAATTAATGAAAATTACATAAAATTAGCATTTCACTTCTCCAGCTGTGCTAGCCACAGTTCAGATGCTTAGTAAATACATATGACCAGTGGCTACCATCCTGGACAGCCATATGGAGAATATTTTCATCACTGCAGAAAGTTCTATTAGGCGACAATGTTCTACAGCATTGACTGACAGGCCCACTTATGGGTCATCTAACGATCTTTGGAAGCGTAACTTGGTTGACTTATTTACTATCCACTGAATACAGGCTCCATAAAGATTATGGAAGATTGGTAAATTAAAAATAAATTTTGTCTAGTGAGGGTGCAAAGGATTTCTACCTAGACAAAAAATAATCCTAAAGATTACTGTTTTACTGCCTTGTAGGACATTAACTATATTTGGACTTTGCAACCTTATTCCAGTATTCTTTTTGCCTTTCATAATATCTACCTCCCTACTTATCTATGTATTTTTTGAACTGTCTTTGTTATACTACAGTATTCCCCTCATAAATGAGTTGAATGAATTTTTGACATATGCTTACTGAATACTGAGGTTTTGTTTGACTTTCTGAAAATTATTTTGATAAAAGAAACAATTTATCCTGATTTTGGTGAAACATTGATGAAATACAGCAGACAATAGACTCTACAACCAAGGGTCCCCAAAGTTCTTTGTTCACCCCCTTAATTTCTACCTTACATCACTGCAAACAATCGATAATTGAGAGATGCTTGTTGAAATCACAAATGGATAAACAGTGAGTGATAAAGGACATATCTGTTGTCTTTCTCTCTTCTAATTGTTCACCAGAAACCTCTAGTTGCCCTAAATATTAAAAGCAAGGAATTTCACCTTGTCAGTTGTGATGTGACTTATATCCACACAAGAAATGATTCTTTTGAATGTAGAAAACACACCACCAAATGTGTTGAGCAGAAAATAAGTCTCTCCATCTGAGTGCAACTTTCCCTGTAGTACATTAACACTGCAGGAGCCAGAAATAACAACATTCAAAGCTAAAGCACATTAGCAAAGAAAGCTCATGTAACACATATTGTTTAGCATATTTATGTGGGCACCCCAGGATTCTAGTGTCTAAATAAACTTATTTTTACTAGCAAGGTTCAATGTAAGTACCTAGAAATCTGGTTTATGGTTGCAACTCCAGTCACATATTCCAGACATGCACATTTTACAAGAAAACAAAGTTTATTTTTATACCTCCGGAGCTACAAATATGCTCAGAATCTAAAATAACAGGTTACAAATACTGTAAAAATCTAAAAAAAATTCTGTGCAGAATGGTCACCTCAAGGCATATCTTTCCCTGCAAAAAATACCTATGGGCCACTTTTGGCTTCCAAATGTACAAGCTCAATTTATAGAAACTTCCATAGCTCCTCTGGCAAGAAGCATGGGGCCGATGAAAGATACAGTCATTTCTGCGTGTGTGAAAAAATTGAGGTATAGACAAAAGTAACCTTCTCTGTTCATTAAAAACTAAATATTCAGTTCAGAAAATTCTGCAGGAGTGACTGTGAAGCAGAGAAAAACAATCTCATGATGCTCAAATGAAAGAAGGGAGAATTAAAGAACTTTATATATCACTAATTAGCCAGTCAGTTTGGTTCAGTAACAATGACAGCAGAAACTAAATAGGACTTCTTAGTTTTCCAAATCAGTGTTTTGGCTGGATTTCAGGAGGAGGTCTAAGTTTCATTAAATCATTTCCACTATGGTGGAATACTTGCTGACTAAAATACATGCTGTGAGGTATTTTTAAACATGGTTTGTGCAAACAGAAATGCCCTCTCAGCCACAGGAAGGTTTGCATCATACAAACCTTCTTCTTCCTCAGTCACCATTATGAATTGTTATATGTTACCTTGCTCCTCTCTAGAACACTGCTCTGAGGACCTACTCTGTGTGTGTGCCACTAAATATTCTGCAATATTATATATAAACTTATTCTCCACTTTATGTTTAACATTAAAGTGGAAACCCTTAATCTGTGGCTTAATTGGAAAAGAAGCATCCAGTGTCAACATTAGAAGGCACTCATAAATTAAATAAATGAAAGTAAAATAATACAATATTCAGATGTTATTTCATTCTTACTGGATATTGGATCTACTCAAGGCATGGAGCCCCAGGCCATCTCACCTTTGCTGAAACAGGAGCTAAGCAAGTACCAGACAAACCAGCACTGGCTTGAGACTCTGATGAATTCTGAGAAAATAAACAAATTTCTCACTATGTGAATCAATGTGATTTAGAGCCATGGACCTGTAAGACCTAAAATTAGAAGCCATGTATACTGGAAAACAAAACCATAATCCAAAACTCATCAGACATAAAAACAGGTTAGAATTACATTCTAAGTTCAACACACTTGAAGTGAATGGAAGAGTAGATACATCTAGAGGAGAAAAGGCCAAAAAAGTAAGCATGTAAAGAGAAAGGATTTGGTTCCATTTGGAGGGCAAGCTGAGGGAAGGGGGACGGGACACAGTAAAGGACCTTGGATTTACTGGAAGTTGAGCCCTGTGGCTGTGGCCTACCCATCATCAGTGAGAGGCTTTCAGCAAGTCACAGCTTCGTGAAGCTAAGCTCTCTCATCTCCTAAATAAGGGGCTGGACGGTTTATTTACAAGGTCCTATCCAGCTGTAAGTTTCTAGGATTCCACGTGTGTCACCACACCAGGGACAGGTGACTTGGAATTACTTGAGAGTGAGATGAGGGAGTTCCTATGGGGAAAGAAAATGGCCAAGGAGGTGGTGGTGTTTGAAGACTTTCCTGCTACAAGAATGGTCATTTTGTTTTTTTGTTGTTGTAGAACTATGGATTGAACTCAGGGCCTTTGCACTGAGCTATATCCCTAGGTCTTTTTTATTCTTTATTTTGAGACAGGGTCTCACTAAGTTGCTACATTGCAACCCACCTGCCTCAGTTTCCCAGAGGGTGGGGATGACAGGCATGTACCACTGTTCAAGATTGGTCATCGGTTTTGATCAGGGTAGGGCTTGAAAGGAGACCTACAAGAGGGATTTCAGATTTGAGTCATCACAACACCTCAGTGAGGGGCCTCAGGTGGGTACCTGTGGCTGGATTGGTGTTGGAATGCTTTAATAGTATCCTAAGTACTTTTTTCCTTCCTGCAAACCCAGGAAACTTCTGTGAGATGCCCTCATCAAGGAAGCCTTCTCTGATTGATCTGAGCATACATGAATGTTACCTTTTCTAGATAAGCTCGATGTTTTTCTTTTCCTTCTGTGTCACACCTATCCAAGGATGATACTTAAAGTATTCAGCCACATTACCATCTGCATCAGAGGTTACAGGGGTGACACAAGGAAATACTATCTACTCAATGGTCACAGACTCAGAGTCCAATGGACATTGTCCATTTCTCCTTTAAGGTATCACAGTACCAGCATGAAGCACGCTACCTTCCTTGCTGGTATCTATGCCTCCCTGCCAAGGGACAAGGCTAGGTATAGATGCCAGCTCCCTTGAGCTATGGCAGACAAGTTGGTGGGCCCCCATGATAGCCTCCAGGCTGCATCCAATGGGCTTCTCTGGAGTGAAGACAGTGGATGTGAATGAAGCAAGGGCAAGACTCAAGGAAATGGCTACTCAAGAACCGGCAGAAAAGTATTTCAATTCAATAAAAATGTATTGGTGCGTACCAACTGAGTATCCTTTAGTGGGCACAGAACCTGGTACATAGTATTCAAGAAGTAAGTGTTAATTGATGAAGTCCTAGCTATAACTAGACCCAGTGTTATAGTCCTGGGTTTATTATAACTTAGTTCTTTAAAATATTCCTCAATATTAAATGTACAGTATTCCTTAGGATGATATTATCTGTACTTAAACTGAACCACAGGGTTTCTCTGAAATTAGAGGAAGATACACTAATTTGAGTTGTTATCAGAGTTATCAGTTAGGACTTCTGTTGGTTAACCATGTTTTGGGGGGGCTATGACTGTTGCTTTCAATCATAGCTTCTACTAGCTTTTCATGACTTCTGTTGACTATGCCTTCTAGTGATTAATCAGGACTTCTTTTGATTACTCACTATTTGACTAACCATGACTTCTGTTGTTTGTGACAGTCAAAGCTGGTAATACAATTAATACCAATTATCTAGATCAAGAAGATAGATGTATATCACAAACTGAATCAAAAATTTTTAACCACATATTTTTCAAACTTTCTTAACTCATGCTCTTCTAATCTTGTTATCAGAGAACTGGGGTCCAACCAATAAACGGGGGCTCAAATGGTGCAGAAAGCCACATATGCATATTAGAGCCATTTGATTCATGTATTAACAATAATTATGGAGTGCTCATATCCTACGCAGATTGCTTCTATCTCAACCT